GAGAGAGAGACAGAGAGCCAGAGAGACAGAGAGAAAGAGAGAGAGAGAGAGAGAGAGAGAGAGAGAGAGAGAGAGAGAGTAGTTTAGGTTTAGTTTTAGTAAGAATTTTAAGGCACTTGCAATACTAGAGAGTCATACGCGTAGAAGAATACAGGTTTTGTTGAAAGAGAGCAACATACACAGAAAAGGAGGAGATATAAGGACGATTGCTGATTGATACGAAAAAAAATAAAGGAGCAAACCACACAAGGGCATCAGCAAACCACAGAGGGAAAGGGATGGACAGACAGACAGATAGACTGACTGACAGACAAACAGAGAGACAAACAGGCAGACAGACAGAGCCAAAGGCGTAAGTCTAGGCCTAAATGCGCGTACGTAGTTCACATCAGCACAAGATGGAGATGGAGTTCCAATTTCTTTCAAGTGAACTGTTACGTCAGAGGGGAGCAACGAAGGCATCTCAATCAGTGCAGGCGTAAGTTCAAATATGGATGCAAAACGAAGGTTGACCTCATGATAGTTTTATTTAATAGCAAGAGAGCTTCCGAACTCCACATTTCGAACACATCTATAACAGACGATATCAAATACGCAAGAAGAATAAAGTGTGCTTTTAATATACATGTACATCTATGAAAAATCACAAGGTTGGCGTGTATTCGTGTATGCCCTCCCATCGACATAGCAATTAAAGATACAGTATTGCCGGGGGTGAGTGAGATAAAACATCCTCGCAGGCAGACGGATACACACGATAACTTCCCCAAAAAAGGAATCGAACTCACATCTTCTGCGTGCTACAGCAACGACCCTAGCCACTATAAAACAGACACCGGTACTAAATGTATCAACTCTTGCTCATACATTCGAAGCTGCAAATGACAATCGCAAGTTAAAAATAAAAGAGTTTAATGCTTGTCCACATTTCTATAACCAACTCCACTTCTACCACCTTTAATTGGCTCAAATCTTCGTACCGCTGTATTTTCAAACGGACTTTTAAATAATACTCGCCACTACCGGGAGACCGCCCGCTTTGTTTCGTTTGAGTAAAGAAAAGCACATTGACACAATCATAGTCAGGTAGTGCTGGGTAAAAGCAAGACATACAGACAGGACACAACAGAGAGAAAGTAAAGAAGTAGGACCTACTAGTGGTGCCCTCCAATCACCCTATCCGGATGATCCCCACAAGCCCTCCAAAATTATCAAACCGGCCACAAGTGGGCCATATCGTCCAGACAGGCGAGCAATGTGTTTTATGTGATACGACATGATGACGCAACACGACACGATCCATTTGCCCATGACACACAAGCCGGCTCGAGCAAATAAAGGCTCAGCTTACAACCGACGCCTCGAGAGGAGGCTCTGCTACAGACAGACGGACGTAGACAGATAAACACATATATAGGACGGTTAATGTGATTGGTAAGCCATCTGCCTGATTGACGGACAAACACCCATACAAACACCCTCCCATTTCCCATCAAACACACACACACACACACACACA